AAGCAAATTACGAACGAAAAATAAATAATGAAATGTAAGTGAATGACAAACAAACAAGTGATGAAAAATCACACCTCTCTATAAAATTTGGTGATCAAAAATATCTTTTTTTGGTGATCATTTGTATCTAAAGATATTTGGTTATCAAAAGTATCTTTTTTTGGTGATCATTTGTATCTAAAAATGTTTGGTGATCAAAAGTATCTCTTTTTGGTTATCAAAAATACAATTATTCAAAAGCTATTCGACGAATAATTGTTCGACGAAAATGTTTTTGGCATTCGACGAAAAGTTCATTCGACGAAATTTCATTTGACCAATGGCTCCCAACTCGTAGGTGTGGGTATAGATGCTGTTTAAAGACGAACACAGCCACACCCACACTCACAGCCACACCACACTCACACCCCACACCCATACCCACCCACACCCACACCCACACCCACCCACACACATACACACACCCCCGACTCTATGACAGTCTCCTCTAATGATCCGAATATGGCGAAGATTGTAAACTTAAGTTAAAATTAAGAGTGCATTGTGAAAGTGATCCATTTTACATTAAGATAAGAGTATTGATCAAGACTAATCTTTTACGAACGTACTTGTATGACGAGAATGGAGAGCATATGGAAGAGAGTCGAAAATTTTTTTGGATTCAGAATCAATATCTGCAATGTCTCTTCACAGTCATGTTGAATCTTGTGTCGATAACAATAGGGATGCACAGAAGAAGAAGCAACTTTCAAAACCGTCTCTTCTGTATTTTCTTTCACTTTTCTATTCATTTCTATGTATGGGAATGGGTACGGGTTTAATAGGGCCAACTATACTCAAATTATGTGAACAAACAAATTCGACACTCGATCAACTTGGCTATGTTGTTTTTATACGTGCATTCGGATTTCTTAGTGGAACTGCACTTGCTGGCATAATTGTGGATCATTTTGTTTTATTAGGTCTGTTATGTCAGGAGATGTCTCTCCTGACATAAGGAAGCTCTACCTATTCTCTTGTGATGTCATCACTGCACATCAATGGCATTCTTACTCTTCGTTCTCAATGGTATTCTCACCATGGATAAAGAAAGATAAAGAATGGAATAAGAGACAGAGAGAGAATCACATTCTTTGCTGCTTTTTGTTTTTTGATTCATTCGCTTGTTTGGTTTTGAAAAGAAAGGAATAAGAATAATAAAGAAAACGGGTAAAGGACCCTAACAAGGTCGAACATTTTTAACATTAACAATTTTAATTATGTGTTTGGTAATATTAATTATACCATTTATTCAAAAACTGTTTCTTCTCATTTTTGTACAACTAATCAGTGGTATAGCAAGTGGTATGGTCGATAACCTGGCACAAATTCTCACACTACGTCATTATAATCAACATCAAGTAGGCCGATATATACAAGCTATTCATGGTGCATTCGGTGTTGGGGCATTTCTTTCACCATTAATTATTGCACCGTTTCTTAATAAACATAGAAAATTTGATCAATGGCATTATGCCTATTGGCTTATTGGATTTCTGCACATACCTAATCTTATTTGGATATTATTCTATGCTATACGTGATGAATATTGTTTGAAAACCAGCACAGAAATAAATGTAGCACTAGAACATGATAAGCCTCTATGTGACGATGATAATAACCAACAATCAATAATAATTATTAACCCTAATGATTCGACAAAACTATCATTGTCGTCCAAAATACGACCATTCCGAATTATCTTAATTATTATTTCAATTGGATTTTTCCTTGTATTACACGATGGCAGCGAATCAGCATTTGGAGCCTATTTACATACTTATGCGAGTCTTCATTT